CTACGAAATCTGGACCTCATCGCATGACCCTTACTGTGACGCCAAGTGAAGATTACCAGAGAGAATGTGGTAGCTTCTCGTACAAAGAAACACGCGAGTATACAGTCAACATTATTCCGAAAGAACGACCTACAGGTAAACCAGTGTCTGTTTGTTGATTATAGATTTTTTATTATAACAGTACATGTTTGACTATTTCTATTGCAGAGAACTTTCGCTTAATATTTTGCTTTTCGTTCTTTCAAGAATATAGGTCAGACGTAATTTATATTTCTCTTGAGAGAAAAACATATTTTGACCGAATAAGATTATATGAAATCTAAGATTCATTTTTTCATGTGTTGTGAGAAAACATTTTTACGAGAAATTTTTTCTCAAATCTGATATTCCTCTACTGTTCTTTAATCAAATGAGCAGACATAAAAGACATGCATTGAAATACAGCGTTTTCGACTACACTAAGATCACTAGGATTCTTATAATTCGAGAACAGAAGAGCCTTTCTAGTCACCTAACCCCTCATTTTGTACCCTGTATAATAAATAATTATTACTGGTAGAAATGCTATTGTTAAACTTGATCATTATTACTGAAAATATGGATACGCACAGAAGCCAATAGATGTCATTGAAATATCAATAAAGCAGTACGATTTTGATGAATCCATCTAACATTTTCAAGAGATTTTTTACGAGTCATTACGGGAAAGTGACATTTCGTCTCACCTATTCATTACGAACTCCGGTTGAAGTAGTCCGTTACGATCTTCGAACTTAAGAAAAAAGACAGGGTGTTCAGAATGACCAAAGTCAATGAAATATGAGGAAAAACCATGATGCTCGTAATGACATGTGGTCGGAAGATCGTAACTAGGGGTGGCACTTTAACTTTACTTTAAAAGTTAAAGTTAAAGTGAAACACTTTAAACTTTAATTAAAGTGAAAAATTTTCGAACTTTAAACTTTAATTAAAGTTTAAAGTAAAACACTTTAAACTTTAAACTTTAATTAAAGTAAAAATTTTCACACTTTAACTTTAAAAAAAAAGTTAAAGTTAAAGTGTTTGTGTCCTGCCATATTATAGGGGTACCCTTAGGTCCTCAACTGCTATCCTATAGGGGTCTCCACTTGTCCTAACACTGCGAAATAGAATCCGGCCATCTGATAGGTCCAGAAATAGACCAATCAGATTTCAGGAGGCCTTTTCTTCCTTATTGTACGGAGAATACATAGGCATGTTCGGGTCGATCATAGGGTTATCGAGGATGCTCTATCGATTGATGGGTATATGTTGGGGTCCCTACTCAGTGCAACACGACGAAACAGAGCCTGGGCATTTGTCCTTGAGGACCCAAGGGTACCCCTCTATAGTGGGATGTGAGTACCCAAGGGTACCCCTCTATAGTAGCACTTGAGGACTCAAGGGTACCGCCCTATAGTAACACTTCAGGACCCAAGGGTACCCGTATAGTATGGGACTTGAGTACCCAAGGGTACTCTAATAGTATAGCAGTTGAGGACCTCAGGGTACCCCTATAGTATGGCATGACACAAGCACTTTAACTTTAACTTTTTTTTTAAAGTTAAAGTGTGAAAATTTTTACTTTAATTAAAGTTTAAAGTTCAAAAATTTTTCACTTTAATTAAAGTTTAAAGTTTAAAGTAAAGCACTTTAAACTTTAATTAAAGTTAAAGTGTTTTTAAAGTTTAAAGTGCCACCCCTAATCGTAACGAGCTCTGACAACTGTTTCTTAGTGACTGAACAGCGAAAATTTGACTGGAGATCGAAATGAAACAGTCCGGAAGTTCGTAATGACAAATGCATGAAGGTCGTAATGAAAACTATAAGATGTTCGGAAGGAAAATGGTAGGATGTTCCTAACTATATTTAAGTTTACTCAACTTTGAGAGAATATGAAGGGACACACTTGTCTTACAGTTTAAGATGGTGCATTAAAGATATCTTGATAAATGCAAACAGTCAGGATTGCTCTTTACTATTTTAATTCCAATTAAAGAAAAAAAGAAGAACAAATATTTTATTTTACTTTTAAATCTAATTCATAGTAGATATAGAGCATAATATCATAAGAAAAAACATGAAATGTATAGAGCAAAATTTTCAGTAGTTATTTTTTGATACGTTTATTTCTTACACCACCATTTGTACCTTTAACTGATTTAGCATCAATTGACGTAGTAGGACTGAAAATTGAAAAGAAAAATATAATACACATTAGTACTATCTTTATTCAACACAAAAGCAAAATACTTACACATGTAAAACAGATGTACCATCATTATTCTCTTCATTTTCTGATGAATATCTACGTCTTTTAGCACTAACTGTTTGTTCCTTCTTCGACTTTGTAATAGTAATAATAGGTCGAGATGATGTGTACCACTATTATGAATAGATTAAAAGACGAAAGGTAGAAACAACTGTAATTACTAAAGTATAGAAAGCAATGATACAGAAAGAAAATGATCTATCTCTATATATATAAGTATAGTTGTACTAAGTAAATAAATCCTGTTCTTCTCTATAAAAACAGAAGAAAAATCTTTATATCCGTTACGATCTCCGACCAATTATTTTTACGAATTCCTTGTCAATGTCATTCCAATCTTCCGGTTCCGAACATCCGACCTTATTCATTACGATCTCCGGACCTGCATCAGATATATCAAGAAATATTCTGTTCCGAACATCCGGTCAAACTATTCCAATTTTCGTGCTTTTCTATTACGATCTTCTGTCCACGAATGTTTACGAACTCCGGTCAAGGAAAAATTCATTTCCGAACATCCGGACGCATGTCCGGAGTTCGGAATGAGGTGAGACGAAACGTCCTTCACTCGTCATTACTGTGCCATGAAAATTTGCGATGGGAAAGCCTATCTAAACAGAAATTGTACATAGATGAAGATTGAATTTTTCAAGACTCCAGAGCTCCTATTATGCAAGTAAATGAGCTTACCTTTGAACAATACACAATAATGAGTTGGACTAGAGTTCAACAATAACATATCACTAATTAGTTATCTATAATATGAAAGATAACATGCAATATAGCAAACACACTTTTTATTGCTTTTCTGCCAAAGTTAGAAATGATTGTCATATATCAAGATTTGACTGAGAAAAAAAAGCTGGAATGAATAGAGGTCAGAGAAAATCGTAAAAGGTTATTTGTCTCAACTAAAGCACGCAGAATTGGAAATGAAACTAATGAAAATTATATTGACATTACTATATTATTTTAAAACATGACAATGTCTAATAATCGTTCTCATCAGCCAAAGACTTCTTCTCGCTTTGGCAGAAAAACAATAAAAAAATGAACTTTCTTTATTAGTTGCCATGTTTCATATCATAGATGACTAATTATAAAATAGTAATATTTTATTGTTGAACTATAGTTCAACTCATCATTCTTTATTATTCAAAATATGAGCTCATTTAATTGCATAATAGGAGCTCTGAAGTCTTGAAAAATTCACAATCTTCATCTATGTACAATTTCTGTTTAGAAAGGTTTTCCTATCTCAAATTTTCACAACACAGCGGTGAAGTCATAAAAAAGAACATCTTCTGCATATGTTAGATGGATTGATCGAAATCTCACTGATTTATTGATATCTCAATGGCAGCCTTTGGTTTTTGTGTATATCCATATTTCAGTGGAAATGATTAAGTTTAACGATAGCATGGTGAACTTCGGTGGCATTTCTGCCAGCAGTAGTTATTTATTATGCCGCGGTACAAAATGAGGAATTAGCTAACTAGAAAGACCTTTCTATTCTCGAATTATAAGATTTCTAATAATAAAGGACACTATCAATTATGATTTCGTTCTAATTTGAGAGATTTTGATGCTGATGATATCCCTGATTTACATTTTTTGTTGACTACTTGCAGAGGCATTTTCAAATATTCAGCTTTCATAGATATTAAGATTCGATGAGACAGGAATAGTTTTGAATAGGAGTATATTTATCATTCAAAACATGGTTAATGTTGGTTTCAACTTGAACTATCAACATAAACGATACTAATATTGCATACTGTACAAAACATATCAAATAAAGGTCAGTGACTTTTCTGTAGAAAAAAAACTCAAATAATCTTTTCATAAACAGAGTAAAGTTCTCTATCGGTTCAAGTAACAAAAAACTACATTATTAGTCTTTATGCAAAATCGATGTTTTATTTTTGGATGCTGTACAAAAGATTTTGAGCCATTTCAAATCTTTGTGAGTTCATACTCTTGACACGTTGAAAACGTTCGATAAAGATGTATTTCGCAAGTATTCATGCCAAAATTGCTTGTCCATAGAACAACTTAACCAATATATTAATTTTTATATTTGTTAAATAAATGAATTCAATCGTATTAGCAGTATGATTTGTTATAAAAAGGCACTCTAGACACCTCCAGTTAGAGTACTTTAATAGGACTCAATTAAAATTCGACTCAAAATAGGAGTCAAATGCTTTGAAAGAGATTTATTATCGAATAAAGATTATTCAACATTTTCTTCGACTAATAGTGATCGATCACAAACATAGAAATAGAATCATTTCTGTGAATACATAGTACCATTGTCTGTCTTCATAACAGTTTCCAACAAACGGAATGATATACGAACGAATCAAGACGGTATTATTTCTTTTTCTGCGTATACAGTCAATGTATACTGTCTCTATTTAATTCGTTCTTTTACAATTGAATTTCTCCGTAAAAGGTTACCATGATATATTATCGTAATTCTAGATCATGAAAACAATTAATACGCGTTTAGTGAGTTCGATTTATTATTAAATAATAAAGAAAATATTATAGCCAGATCGATATTATCTGTAACAGAAGATATGATATCTTTGTTTTCATCTTGTTAATATATAATACTGAATATTGTGAATATCTTTCAATTGTAGTTCCGACAACGACTCGAATTATGTGTCCACTAAGCATTGCTAGAATTAACCTTGTTATTATGGCCGGAGAAAAAGGAACAGAGATTCGAGATGATAAACCAACGAACGCATTATCAACTAACAATTTAAATCAACACCACATGGCTGTTACACTTTTTGAGCACACTGTTTATTTGCTACGCATCCAGTTGGATTGTTCTTCCCAATTGAAGACTGAATTAACTTCAACTGGTTGTAATCTCGCTCAAGATGTGAATGTTTGGATTGACCTGAATGATGATGGAAAATTTGATGAATCAGAAATCGGAGCTCCTTATCGTTGGCCGGTAACTAGTTACATGGCAGAAGGCATCTATGATATACAAATATACGTACCATTGATCGATGGCAGATACATAAGAAATGGACCACATCGAATGCGTATTTCTGTTGTGCCGAGTAATTATTATCGAAGTACTTGTGTCGATTATGACTACAATGAGTCACGAGAATATATGGTCACTATTATTCCAAGAATGAAATATTCTTGTAAGTATTTTTCTGTTTATTAGTGGATAGTTTTGTTTGTTATAATGTTGAATGAAAAGAATTGAAATTATTCGTTTTAGCTTTCTATGTGAGGGTAAACACAATTGATATGTATATGGATGATGCATGTAGTCACTCAATAACCCATGTTATCGGAGTATATGCGATGATTTTTCATCAATTGAGTAAAGTCTGCAGAGCAGAAACTAAAATTACAGTTGCTTTAAAGAATATTTTAGAGTATTGCAATCGAAAAAAAATGAATCTGTAGTATCACAAAAGGGATAGAAACGGTTAGAATCGAAAGTCTATCTGAGATTCGAAACATGTTATTAAGTCTTTGAATTCTCACAACTGTGAAAGAAATATGGGACGCCATTTTAAAGAATATTTTCAAAAAAGGTTTAATGGATTGTTCGATTAAACTGATTAATAATCATTAATAAAGAAAAGAGCAAAGTGCCAGTTGCACATGCAGATCGATCTCTCGATATCCTCGTTTTTGACTTTTTGATCAATTTCAGAAACACAATTTTCTAGAAATGCATGGTCTAGATTTTTTGTCAAATGATGGAGAGTAGAGTTGTTAACATACGTATCTAAGTTCCCAGAATGAGACTCTATTTCGCTGGCTAATCACGAAATCGAAGATGATGATGTTTTTGAAAATATAAGACTGTTGCTAGCAAGTTTCTTGCAAACATTTGAGAAAGCTAGTCATATCATCACAGTATTTTTTGTACAGAATGCAAATCGTTTATCACAATCAATCAAATAGAATCTTGTACACCCGCGTAAATAAATATTCCAGTGAATATATGCAGATTCCAATTTGTTTCAATTAGTATTTATTCTTCAAAAGTTTAAAGATTTCTATAACAAATAAAAAACCCTAAACCACATGTAGTACCAGACACTATTCATTTTTTGCATTTTAAATAGAACATAACACTTTATTTTATGAATTAATTTTTTTTGTAGCACTCGACGCTACGCCTACTTCTATGGTACCACACAACGTGCCATGTTCTCCTGATATTGGTAAAGTCGTTCTTGTTGTAATGGCTGGTGAACATCGAACACAAATTCGGGATGACCAGTCGACAAGAACTGCATTGACCAGCAACACTCGGAATTATCAACACCTAGCCATTGTACTATATGAAGATACTGTCTATTTGCTACGCATCCAATTTGAATGCACTGGATCACGAAGCGGAGATTCTGTTGGAAATAACTGTAACCTTCCTCATGATGTGGCTGCCTGGATTGATCTAAACGATGATGGTAGCTTTAGTGATATAGAAAATGCAGCTCCTTATCGCTGGCCACTCACTAGTTATATACCACAAGGCATCTATGATCTACAAATATATGTACCTAATATTGATGGAACGAAGACGAAAACTGGACCACATCGTATGCGTCTTGACATAACGTTAAATGAACACTATCGTCAAAAATGTGGCAAGAATTATTATAGAGATACGCGAGAGTATAATGTTACCATTGTTCGAAAAAATATGAAGCAAACAGGTAGATATTTTTTCATCAATTATATAGCTAAAGATACTGAATAATGTAAGTATGACTTGATTATTTCGATTATAAATAATTTTGTTTGCATATAATGATGATTTCAACTTTTAAAAAATGAACGTTGCTATCAAGAGCATGAATATTGACGAGAATAATTATTGATGAGTAAATTATTCTACAAATAGAAGTATATTTTGAAAAAAAATGAACGTCATAATTTTAAATATAGAATAGATTTTAGAGGTTAATATGTCACCGAGATTCTTCATTTAGTAAAGTAAAAGATACTAGCTCGAGCAACTTTTAGCACATGTTTGTATTGATAAAAAATGCGTAAAGAAACGGATAATATCTTGGTGAACGTATAATTCAGTTCAAGATGATGTTCTTCTTCTGTGTATTGGGCGCAATAGATCGATATTAAGTTTGGTAAAAAAAATAGAATCACTCAGATATCAAGAAACAGTATTTGTATAAATTCTAACGATATCATTTCTATATCAAATTTTCAAAGAGCAACATTATTCTATGTAAAAACATAGTTTTTCTGACAGAACTTTGACCATTCGTTTTCCTATAAACATAGAAATTAATATTTTTTTATAAAGAAAATAATATGGATCTTCTCTCGATCAAATTCATCAGTAATCTAACTATATAACCATTGAATTCCACAAAACAAAAATCCTAGGAATATGTTCTCTAATGAATGTTTCCTATTTGTCAATATTGGTCATAACTAGTGAATATGGTGAAAATAAAAGAGAATGTCTTTCTGTGTTGAAGATAATTTATTCTGAAAAATGTTCTTCTGAGAGATAGGATCATTTGAAATTAGATATATATATGTTTTTGATTTTATACTCTGTTTCTGTTTATATGAACATGACTATTAGATATGATTGAAAAATTGACCCATACGAACACCAATATGATATCATAGATAACTGGAAAAAACGATACTAGAAGTATAATGCCGTGTACAAATGCAATAGAGGCTATTTATTCTTCTTTTTGAGTTATATCAAAAAGGATAAATGCATTGCATTGTTCCATATTTATTTAATCGATCTATTGATGCACAATACAAGGACTTTTCACGATTTAAGCCAATTCGATAGTTATTAATCCCTAAAACATCATGGAGTTGCACATCATCTACAAAGTTCCAAGATCTTTATGATATGAAATGTTACATAGTTTACTCAACCGAATTCATACAAAATACATACTTCTATGAATTTCCATTATTTCTAGTCGATATCGGAGGTCCATATTTAACGTTAAGTGATTCAGTTTGTTCTCAAACTCATGGTAAAATCGTACTTGTTATAATGGCTGGTGAGAAAGGGTCACACATTCGAGATGATACACCAATAAATACTGTCATCAGAGAGGATCAAAATCGACACCATCTGGCTGTTACTCTATATGAAAATACCATCTATCGAATACGTATTCAATTGGATTGCGACCAAAGCTCCAGTAGAGCTTCGTTTAAGATCCAGTGCAATCTTGCTTACGACGTGAATGTCTATATTGACCTAAACAATGACGGAAGATTTGATGAATCAGAAAGTCGTGTTCCTCATCGGTGGCCACTACGTAGTACAATGACATTAGGCATTTATGACTTGGAAATTCCTATACCTAGTATCGATGGACTGACTACGAAAGGTGGATCACATATCATGCGCATTGTTGTGAAATCAAGTGAAGAATATAACAGAAAATGTGGCAGATATGACTACAGTGAAACCCGAGAGTACACAGTCGATATTATTCCAAAGGACACGTCAAAGGAAATTCCAAGGGACCCATATGGTGGAGGTAATATGCTTTTCTAATTACTCAAAAGAAGCTTTCAACCACATTAGAAATGTACTACTCTTGGAACCTAAGATCGAACGAGTTAACTGTTATCATGATTTCTGTTTTCAACCATCAATAAGATTTTAATAAGTCCAATAGCACAGACTTGTGACAACAGAATTATGAAAGCGAAAAAGATCATTGAATAAAAAAATCATGAAATTTCAACAGACATCGAAATATCTTTCATTTTATTGGCCTTGAAACATTTCTCGGTAATGAAAAGGAGAAATGCTCTATACATCTTGCTATAAACAAAAATAAGTCTCATGAAGCGCACGATTTTTATTGTTAAGATATCAATCAAGCTAGTTTCAGTCTCCCGTATGCACACCTACAATGGTTCCATCACGTTCCTTTATTCTTTATT